TATTTTATAATAGGAAATTCCTGTCTTTGTTACCTTTGAACTATACTTTTATGTGGACTATGTAACTATTGTAGTGAGGAAAATCGTACCATAGTCAGTGCAATCGATGCATAGTTTTGAACTCCTAGAACTTGACTGAGAAAATTCTGTCCACAGTTTTTTCCAACCCAAAGAATCATTACCTGAGGGAGAAGGAAAATAAAAATTATTTTGAAATACCATAACAGTGAGTCTATTCAGTCACTTGTACCACCGCATGTTTTACAAAGATAAAAAAGATGAGTAAGTTTAGTGAACGAAGTAGGCTGTGAAGAGAGACGGTAGGTTAGTACAAATACAAACTGATTCAATTGAAGTAGGTATATCATTCGTTCAGAAATGAAAATGTTAAGGGGGAAATATGAATGCTAAACAGGTATGGCAAAAGACAGAGAAGGGTCAGGTTCAAGCTACTTACAAAGCCTGCATCCATGAGGAAAGCTCCATCCCTGCTCAGCTTCTCCACAGAAAGCTGAAGAATAGGGGGCTGAGGTATGGTTCTATCGTTGACATTGAGCGCTCCCTAAGGAATTAAGCACAAGAGCAAAGCTTCTAGATTCTGCTGGGTAAGATGGAGTCACAGTTGAGCAAGCAAACAAACAAAATGCTTCAATGGACGTTCTCTCTGAGACAGAGGTTCTCAGTCTTCCTACGCCACGACACTTTCGTACAGTTCCTCACGTTGTGGTGACCCCCCACCATAAAGTTATTTGTGTTGCTACTTCATCACTGTAATTTTGCAACTGTTATGAATCAGGCGACCCCTGTGAAAGGGTCATTTGACCCCCAAAGGGGTCACGACCCACAGGTTGAGAACCATGGCTCTAAGAGGCTGGGCAAATTATTCACATTTAAATATAAAAGAAAGAAATCACGATCTTAAGTATTGTTTTAAAAACTGATACAACATATTGGGATTTTGGTTTACAAAAAAACAAAACAAACTTCTTGTCATCGAGTCAATTCGACTGGTACAAACCCTATAGAAGTGGGTAGAACTGCCCCAGTGGCTTTCCGAGACTGCAAGTTCCCGGGAGTTGAAGGCACATCTTTCTCCTGCAGAGCACCGCATGGTTTCAAACTGCTGCACTTGTGTTTGGCAGCCCAATTCATAAACACTATGCCACTAGAGCTAGCTCGCTGTGTATTCCCCCTCTTTTTATCTGGTTGTTCTTGATGAAAAATGTTCAGGAATGATAGTGGCCATCATCCAGTTCTGACGTTGTCTGTGGAGGCAACATGCAGCTTATCCACCTCCTGTTCCTGACACGCCTCCTTCCCCTGCTGCCCCAGGTGATTAGAGACCAATTGCTGTGCCTGGAACTTCACTGCTTTGAAAGGGATGCGTCTGGCTAATGGCAAAAATCGTGCTGCAAGTGATACCAGTGAGCTTTTTGTTTTTAAACTTTTTTGGCTTAGAGTGGTGGAAAATTCATATTAAAGGCAGGATTGCCTAGTTGATTATTTTAACTGTCAAAAGTTATAACAAGTTGAAACATTTGCTAAAACATTGTGTGGTAGGTATCTTTCCAACAATGAAAAACAACACACAAGTGTCATTTCTGAGGTTGCTTATGTACGATGGAATACTTCCTGGGACTAGTTTAGGTTCATGGTTTCATGGGATATCCTGGGAAATTAGCCTAATGATGCATTTAACCATCCTATTCTGTCTCCTAGTTCATTGTATCATGCCTTGCAAACAGTCATCCCGGCCATATGGATCGACCTGATGACAGTGAGTTTGGTTTAGTTTGGGTTTATGGGTTTGGATTTATGTCTATACTTGTAACTTAAACATGGGTAAATGTCCTACAACCTACACATTTCCCCCCTTTAACTCAAGGACAGTGACACGGAACGATGACTTGGGATTTTCAGATGGACTTTTACGCCTGGAATATTCTTTTCAGAACAATTTATTTAAATAAATAAATAATGGTGGAATCATTCAATTTGTTAATTACATCACTTACTTAGATACACTTTATGTATTTTTCTTAGGAAATGTAAAGAAAGTCACTAATTTCAAGTGCAAACAGAATTTCTTTACTCAAACCCAGTGGAGAAATAAATTATAAAGCTTTAGAGACATATAAACCCTTTCTCATCCCTGTATTTGATTCCATATAATCAGGCTTTTACAATTAAAGTACAAACCACTGAAGCAATCTCACCTCATCTGAGAGATTATCCACTCGATACAAACTGGGATGAGTTGTTAGCATAAGGTAAATCAGGGGCTGGTTCTTCACTTGACACATAGCAAAAATGCGCTCGTCTAGACGAGCATTTGTCCCAGTCTGGAATGATTTCTGTAACACAAACAACCCCCCACCCAAGAGAGAAACATCCATTGTAAAAATATGTAAAAAAACTTTATAAATGCTAGAGCTTTTAAGAATATCTTCAGATAAAATTAGCAAATTTATCATGAACTATTCTTTGAAAATGCCTTATTTATTTATTAAAAAAATCATTTTACTAGGGGCTCATGCAACTCTTATCCCAATCCATACACACATCAATTGTGTAAAGCGCATTTGTATATTCATTGCCCTCATCATTCTCAAAAGCCTTATTTATTATACAGTGGCTATTCTCGATCAAAAGCCTTAAGAAATTATTCCATCAGGACAAAGGCATTTGACCTCTCCGGCTTCTGTTTCCTAAGAAGCACACTCTATGTAAACGTCCTTTCTACCAAGGACGAGTAGTCATGAGAAGGACTGCGTGACACTGTAGATGTCACAGGACCTAACAAAGAAATGCCGGGCGATGGTTATTGTGGCTGTCTTTATTTCTCCCACAGGAAGGGAAACGGAATGATGCAAATAAAATGTACAGATCAACCAAGAAACACGCTTGAACACCAGAGCAGCTGCTTACTGGTAGGACACAGTCAATCAGTAACTGTAGGATTTAACCTTCTCAGGCCTCACCCCTGCTTCGGGGCTCTTGTGAGCCACCCATTCTCCATCTGAGGAGGCCGATGGAGTGCATATGATCTTAGGGGCCACTGCAGGCCTGAGATTGAATAGCTTCCTGGAGACTCATACTTTCAGGTAAGATTTTTTTTTTTTGAGGTAAGATTTTAAGCATTTAAATTGACAGGAAAAATAAAGACTAGTTAAAAAAAAAAAAAGACTAGCAATGAAATTACATATTAAAAACAAGCCTAGAAACTGTAGATAAAGATTCGAAAAGGCTCCTAGGCCTTTTGCAATTGGCACATGGATAGTCATTAAGGAAGAGAAAAGAATACTGTAGGAAATGAAAGAAGATAATACCTATGTATTGGTTTTAAAAATGACTATCATATGTACTAGGTGGAATCCTGGGTGGTGTAAACAGTTAACACACACAGCTGTGACATGAAAGCTTGGAGGTTCAAGACCACTTAGAGGAACAACAGAATAAAAGTCTGGCAATTTATTTCCAAAACACCAGCCACTGAAAACTATGGAGTACGGTTTTACTGTGATACGCATGGGCTGCAACTGAGCAGAATCAACTTGGGGTAACTGGTCTGGTAAGCACTAGGAACTGTTCTGGGTGCTGGGACTCGCTGGTGAATGAAAGATGAAAACCCCTACTCTAATAAGGTAGAGGTAGAAAATAAATAGGTATAATTGTTAGTAGTGAGTGCTATGAGGAAAAAATAAAAGAGGGAAGGGATAAAGAAGATCAGAGTAAAGATGGGATGGGATGAGGAGAGACAGATGCAGAATAAACAGACCAGAGATGGCAAGCCTCAGTTAAAAGACAGTATTTGAGGAAAGAGCTCAGATTTCTAAATATTAAAATATATTTACTTTCTGTGAGGGTACATTATATTCGGAAGTAAAAATACATCATTGGAGCAAAAGAAACAACAGCTGTAGATTCAAATGCCATTCAGAGGAAGGAGGAGCAGCCCGCCTTACACTTGGGAGAGACAATTTAACAGGCAGGCTGGGTTGATTATGGCATTGGAAAAATAAGCCTTCTCCACCAGCCCAGGATTTTCTTCCTTTTTTTAAGGGGGAAAGGGAGAGACATAAATAATTGTCATGTGAAAATCTGTATAGGAAAGCTATGCAGGAAGAGCTGCAGATGGAAAGGCAACTGCCAGAAAAATCACATTTGAGCTTAAAGACAAGGGAAGTGCACTCCACGTCATGGAAATGCGCCGGCAGGTTTGAGTACGTCTATCTAAAGACGTTTACGAAGAGTCATGTGGCTGAACTATTGCAGGGAGGAGGGCAGGGCCATAAAGAGTCTCATGTGTGGCTCCTTCCTTCAAAATACAATATTTTGGAAAATGGATACAAAGAAAACTGATCATCCTGTGAATCTTAGATATCATTTACTGAATGCTTACTTTGTAAGCATTTCTTATTACAAGGCATGTGCTTTAGATCAGCTATTTGTAAACTTCTTTGGTTATAAATTTGTTCAAAGTTTCAATAAGTGCTAAGGTCCATGTCCTCAGAAAATTAACTGGTATGATGTTACATAGGTAATGTTTAGGAGTTCAAAGGATGAAACACTTGGCATTTCACATTCTCTGCAGCGTTCTGGTTCCTCTGTCCCCTGCCCCCCACCCCCCCACCTTCTTTTCTTTTTCCTTACCTGCTTAAGAAGAGCCAAGACAAAGAGTGGGAAAAGCCGCAAAGAAAAAGGAACAATGAGTCCAGGATGCTGGTTACTTAGGACGGAAGAGCGGTAAGCTGAAAGGGAGTCAACGACAGCATTCACGAGGGCGTCTCGAGCATCACTCAGACTGGCAGTGACGGACCTGTCCACAGCTAGTGGAGGGGATCGAGACAAGAGACAAGAGGGAAAATGATAAAGGCCTCGCAACACCACTGCTAATGGTCTAAAAGATCATTTAAAATTATACAAAGTCTCTCTCCAGTTGATTCTATACACAAGTGTGGGGAGAAGTCAGATCCTTGCTGCCAGACTGCTGTCTCATCCCACAGCAGGGCTGGGCCTGCTCCCTGCTGCCGGAGACAATAGACTACCTCTCTCTGGAGCCAAAGGCCATTAGCTTGGCTCCTGTGGGTGGAGTTTACACCCAACTGATAATGGTTCCTATGAAGACCCAAAATCAAGTTAAGCTGTTACCAGAAATCTAGGATCCGCCTATCTTGCCGCATGTACACCCCCAATCCCTTCTCCTTCTGTAGTGCATATGTCCCTAGATCACCTCCTCCCATCACTGTAATACCTGTAGCACAACCCTTTCCTGTGACATATGTCTTCAACTGTAATGTGGGGGCTTGCAAGTCCCCAATGTTCGGAGAGAATATAAAAGCTTGGGGAGCATTAAAGTTCTCTCTCACTCCCTCCACGTGGACCACCAAGCTGGGCTGAGGTGAGCAATGTTGCTATGTATCATGCCTGACTGTATTATTGTATTATCTCTCATGCTCTCGATGACTTTAATATAATGCTTATATATCTCAACCGTACAATTGTGCATTACTGAACCCAGAAGTAGTATTACTGAACCAGTGAGTTCTAGTACCGGGTGGGGCTGGCACCTCACCCCCCAGCGACAATTTTATTTAATACTACACACAAGAGGCAAACAGCAATTAAAACGGTTGGGAAAGACTGAGAAATGGAAAGGGGAACCAGTGAGAGGAAATGGGATAAATGATGATACATCAAGGGGTTTTAAATAATTAAGTTGAAACAAACATATAAATTCTTGAATGTAAAACTGATGCTCTGCTTTGTAAACATTTCCCTAAATCACAATAAAAAAGTTAAAAACAACAACAACAAAATCCATGCTTTGGATAATCAAACTGACCCCTGAAGAAATGCTACTCTGCTCCTTCTTCACAGTATGACAACTTGGCAAGCAAGCTTTCTGAGCTCTAGTTTCCTGTAAGATGGGAAAAACTGCATTTCATTGAATATAAGATGCTACTGATTAAAATTCATCACGATATATCACTAAGAAAAAATACTGCAATGAACAAATAATGCTTTCTCAGCACATAGAATTTTTATTTTACATTTACTAAAATAGCTCTTAGCGAGTTATTTAGACATATTTCCATTATCTATCCTGCTACTCTGATTATATGCCTCTCTACATGCTTAACACTTTTTCTTTTCAGGCTTGAGTTTAAGCTAATAAAACCACTGGTACCTACCTTGTAGGAGAAAGGGTGCAAGGATTAAATTGACAATGAGCTGTATAGATATTTGAGAAAGGTACCAAAAATAAAAAATAAATTTAAAAATCAAGAAAACTATATCTCAGAAAGAAATAAAGAGTTAGCAAAATCAATAAAACTTTTGCTAGGCCACATGATTTGGTCAATGGTCAAAGCTAAAAAACTGAGGTGTGGTAGGAAATTGGTTTTCCATGATTCCAAGTATAATGTTTAATAATCCTTATGGTACACTTCTAGCGCTTATAAATCTAAGTTAATGAACTTATAAAAAGCAATGAAATATTAGTGTTAGGCACCAAGTAAGAGGAGGTTATTTAAGCGCAGAACAGATAAATCAATAGAGACAGAAAATAATTTAGTGGTTGCCTGAGGCCAGTGGAGAAGGGTCAGAGAAGTGTGTTGTGACTGCAACTGGCATGAGGTTTCTTTGTGGGGTGATGAAATGCTCTCAAATGACACTGGTGATGACAGCATGACCCTGGACACACCCTAAGAACAACTGAATTGTATACTGAAGATGAGTGAACTGTCTTGGCATATAAGTTACACTTCAATAAAGCTGTTTAAACTTTGCAAACGACAAGCCTATTTACTTCAGTCAAACACATCAGAGGCACACACACACACCAAGAAAAAAGATGTTCTTTTTTATCATGGAAAATAATAATACTATCATCTGCAGAAGATTATTTCATTCAAATTAGTTAACAGGTATCACAAAGAAAAACAAAGCTACATGTCTAATACTTACAAAATATTTTAAAAGATAACTCTTACCCATATTGGCCAATAACCCTGCTATTGCTTGAACATCAGCCCCAAGAAATATTTCATTCAGCGTTGAAACTACAGGCAAACACAAGGTATGGACACGGATTCTCCTTTCACCTTTGGGGAAGAGATATAACTGATGGTAAGGAACATATTTAAATGGTCTGTATCAGTCACTTGGAGCATAGTGGTTACGCACAGTAAGGTCGGCTGTTCTGAACCACCAGCTGCTCCTCAGGAGAAACACAGGGCTCCTGCTCCCACAGGTACAGTCTCAGAAAACCACAGGCACAGTTTTACCCTGTCCGATAGAGTCGCTATCACTCAGTACTGACTGGATGGCAGTGCATTGTTATTTTTGAGATTATGGAAAAAACACTTATATTTATTTTTAAATCACAGATTTAGAACTCAATAGGGTTATATAGTCTGTAGAGACAGTGTCAAAAGATTAACAAGTAAAACTGTTAAGTGTTAAGTTACTGACTACAAAATCCTTTGCTTAAGCTCTTTCTAAAAAGAGAAGAGTAATTACACTCAAGTGATTGTAATATACTAATTTGCTTGGGGTTTTGTTTTTTTTTAAAGTCTCTTTTTCTAAACTTTATTTACAGCTATATTTTGAATTTACACGTGTGGTAAAAGATATGACTACTCTACCCAACATGTGTTCTGTAGTCTACTTTGATATTTGAAGTCCTGAATAATCATAATTTGCTCTTTAATCACAGAAATAATTTTTAAAGAAGCTAAATGGTCACTAAGCTTTCTGTTTTATAACTATTCAAAATAACAAATATCAACAATTATACCTCAAATAATACACAAAAACTCAAAGCAGTTCAGAGACCTAAATGTAAAAGTGAAAATTATACTGTTCCTGGAAGATAATACAGGGTAGAAACCAGGGGACCTGATTTTCAGAACAAACAGCCTATCAAACAAAATTAACAACGCACAAATGATAGAAGATAAAACTGTTAACTGGGACTTCATAAAAATTAAACACTAATGCTCACCAAAAAACTTTACCAAAAGGGGAACTAAAGAGCTTACTAAAGAGCAATGACATATGTGATAAAGGTTTAATTTTTAAATTACAAAGAAACCATAAACAACTCACAATAAGAAGATAATCTAATTAAAAAAATGGGCAAAGGACATGAACGCACACTTCACCAACAAAGGCATATTAGGCAGTCAATAAATAGTGAAAACATTTGCAATCGTGAGCCATTTAAAAACCAAACAAGACCACTGCCATTGAGTCAATCCTGACTCTCAGCAACTCCATATAGGGTCTCTGAGACTGTGGGTCTCAGTGGAGCAGACTGCTTCAGCTCTGTCTTGAAGAGCAGCTGGTGCGTAGAAGTGCACATCAAGATCAAAAGGAGATGCTATCCTATCACTGCGAGAATGCCACTGATCCTCCCCCCCCCACCCAAACAACAACAACAAAAAACAACACATTCTGGTGAGGTTGAGGGGAGACTAAACTACTATATATTGTTGGAGTGGTAAAATGGTAACAACCATATGGAAAACAGTATGGTGCTTCCTCAGAATGCTAGAAATATAAATATCTTATGTTTCAGCAATCCCACTCCTAGGTATAAGAAAGGGCAACAACTTTCACTAGTTAAATTGTTTCCCCAACTGCACTTTGAGTATTATATTCTTGGTCATCTCAGCCTCTAAACGCAACTATATTCCATTTCACAAGTTCCCATTCCCTCTAATTCTATCTAATCTTCCACTGCCTTATCTCCCACTTGATTGGGAGTTTAAAAGATATTATAAGACCTACTTTCAGGTTCCTACATTAGAGGCATCGTTAACTTGCTGAAAAGAGTTGAAAATGGGCTCAACTCTTGCTTCATTCTCCCACCAACTTCTTAAGTCTCATCACCAACTATTAAAAGACGCTTTTCTGGTGGCATAGTACTGGGACTTTCTAGAATAATGGTTCTAGAAGAAAGTTCTAGAATACAGTCAGGATTTTTCTGGGTTCGTTCTCCACTAGCTTACATCTGTGCAACAGAATGATGATTACCCTAGTCACTTTAGAGTACATATTGAGACAATAGTTCTATCTTCCAAGAATAAACTTTGCTAATGAAAAGCAAAAAATGTGCATGCATCATTTTCATTTAATTTTCCATAACATTTTGAAGCCCTCTTATATATGACTATGTGGGTATGTCAAAAAAGACTTGCTACAAAATCACTGTAGCCTAATAGGTGTCAAGTTGGTTCCAATTCACAGTGGCCCCATGTGCAAAGGGACAAAACACTACCTGGTTCATTTTTTTACAACCTCTAATAATTTTCCCAAGTTCATCCTCTGTACATTCCACATTTTAATTAATAATGGATGTTGACAGCTGTTTCTTCTAATTTTGAATCTTATCCTATCCACAAATGAATGTCTTAAAAGCTTTGCTTCCTTCAAGTCATGAAGGCCAAAGCTACTTTGGGAAGGCAGCCCTTCCAGTTATGTTTTGAGTACCGTCCACCCCAAGGGGCCCATCTTCAGGCACAATACCAGATAATGTTCCACTGCTGTTCATAAGGTTTTCAGGGCCTGATTTTTCAGCAAGTGGACTGCCTCTTCCTTCTTTCTAATCTGTTCTAAGTTGGGAAGCCCTGAGAAAACCTGTTCACTATGGATGCTCTGTTGGTGGCATAACTCCCAGCATCACAGCACACATAAACCACCACAGTATCCCCAAGTGACAGGTGAGTGGGACTCAAAACTGACTGCCATTCAGTCAATGCTGATTCATAGCAACCCCCAGGGGTCCCTGTTTATGGAGTAAAAAGCCTAGTTATGCTCCTGAGGAGCTGCTGGTGGTTTTGGACTGCCAAGGGTATGGATTACAACCCAGTGTGTAACCACTCCACCACCGGGGCTCTATAAAAGAACAGAAGCTCTGATGAAATAAAACGATCAAAACGTGAAGCTGCCAGGAAGGTAAGGGGAAGGTGGGGGAGAAAGGGAGAGCCGATTATAATGATCTACATATAACCCCTCCCAGGGGGTCGGACGACAGAAAAGTAGGTGAAGGGAGATACTGGTCAGTGTAAGACATAAAAAAAATTTTACAAAATATCAAGGGTTCATAAAGGAGGGAGGGGAGGGGAGGGGGGAAGTGAGCTGATACTAAGGAATCAAGTAGAAAGAAAATGTTTTGAAAAGGATGATGGCAACATATGTGCTTGACACAATGGATATATGTGTAGACTGTGATCAGAGCTGTACGAGCCCCCAATAAAATGATTTTTTTTTAAACGCACAAAAAAACCCATGAAGCTGTTGTTTCTTAACATATGCTCTATCTAGGCCTTATCCATTTCTGAAGACACTGTGTGCATCCAACTGCCCCCAATCCCAGGAAGAATTCTGTACTCTTTGACTAATGCTACATCAAAAAGGAGTACTGGCATCCCCAGGGACTCAAATAACATTCCTTTGAAGTGTTCTTTGAATTTTATGGCCAAAAATGTCTAGAAGGTTAAGAGTGAAGTTGTAGGGTGATGGAGCTAAAGTTTCCCAACAAAGGTTTTGTGGGACAGCCTTTGCTATCATTGGAGAATAAAGAGGTACACTGTCGAGACGGAGAGAAATCCTTGGCACAATGTTGCTGCCCTTTTTCTCACCACCGCCCTTCTCCATTTTCTTAAGTTTTCTTCATAATAAACCCGTGATTAGTGATAAAAAGACGTAACAACACAAATGTGCTTGACACTATGTATGTATGTATGGACTGTGATGAGTTGTACGAGCCCCCAATAAAATGATTTAAAAAAAAAGATGTAACAACATGGCAGGATCAATATCAAATACACTATGCTAGCGAAAGAAGCCAGATTTAAAAGGGTATATACTATACTATGTGATTCCTTTTATAAGATGTTATGGGAAAGGCAAAACTAGGGACAGAAAACAGATCAGGGCATTTGGAGATGGAAGATGGGAAAGGCATTAACTATAAAGAGGAACAGGGAAATTTGTAGGGTTGGGGGTTGCTTCTATATCTTGATGGTGGTAGTTACATAACAGATTTTCAGAACTTGTGGAACTATACACTATAAAGCTGCATTTTACTGTATGTAAGTTACACATTAATTTTTAAAAAGAATAATAAGAAAATTCAATGAACAGAAAAGCGACTAAACTATCCTTTCTTTAAATACAAAATGGGATCTTCTAAGACAGCAGTGAGTCATGACCCCTTTGGGGGTCACACGACTCTTTAACAGGGGTCGCCACGACCATTGGAAAACATGTATTTCCGATGGTTTTAGGAACCGAGATACCGGCTGCTCAATCCGTCTCCAGAAGGGTCCTCCCACATGCAGATACACCCACATATGAGTACCCGGCATGAAGACTATTATTCATGCTACACCATGCTTCAAGACAACATTTCATTTGTAATTAGAAATAAGTATTTCACAATATATAATTACATATTGTTTTTGTGATTAATCATTATGCTTTAATTATGTTCAATTTCTAACAATGAAAATACATCCTGCATATCAGATATTTACATGAAGATTCATAACAGTAGCAAAATTCGTTATGAAGTAACAACGAAAATAATTTTAAGATTGGGGGTCAGCACAATATGAAGAACTGTATTAAAGGGTGGCAACATTAGGAAGGTTGAGAACCACTTTTCTAAGATAAGATAGATTTATATGTGTTTATATATTTAATATTAATACATATTTCACAAGGGTCAGACTGAGTATTCAACTCAACTGCAACGGATTTGGTTATTTGCTTTTTTGAAAAAGAAATCCAAAATACTTCATTCTACATTTAAAGTTGTGCTGTGTATCGATTATAGGAATCCTAGAGCCCTGGTGGTATAGTGGTTACACTTTGGGCTGCTAACTACAAGGCCAGCAATCTGAAACCACAAATCGCTCCTTGGGAGAAAAATGAGACTTTCTACTCTCATAAAGAGTTACAGTCTTGATCACTGAGTCAGAACTGACTCAATGGCAGCGAGTGAGTGAGTGAGTGAGTGAGTGAGTGAGTGAGTGAGTGAGTGAGTGGCACTACAGGTTCAATGCTAAACTGCTGTTCAAACCTACCAGCTACTCCATGGGATAAATATGAGACTGTCTCATGCTTCCATAATGAGTTACAGTCTCGGACACCCAAAGGAGCAGTTCTACTCTGTCCTATATGGTCGCCACGAGTCACTTAATAAAAGTAGTTTGGTTGGCGTTCATTATAAGGCGCTATAGTGGCATAGTGGTTAAAGTGTTCAGCTGATAACCAAACAGGTCAAGGATTCAAACCCACCATCCGCTCTGTGGGAGAAAGCTGTGGCAGTCAGCTTCTGTACAGGTTTCATCTTGGAGACAGACTAGGGAAGTTCTACTCTGTCCTTCAGAGTCACCAGGAGTCAGAGTGGACTCATTGGCAGTGGGTGGGTATTAATTATAGTTATCCTACAAAAATTAAACTCCTCTAACATTACAGATTTCATTAAAATATCCTCATTATATATATATTTATACATTTTGAAAAGGCTATAAAAATGATTAGGCTAAACACAAAAACAGTCCCTCTTTTAAAAAAAGGCAATAAAACACAGGGGTGGGAGTTGTAAATATTTAAAATAAAAAATAGCTGAACTCAACTTTTTTATACCACTTATAGGACAAAATAGAAATTATAAACTGATTAGGAATAATAAATGACACCATTTCAAAAAGTTTCCTATCTTTCAACACTTTACATAAATAGGCCCAGCACTTCCTATGCCCTTTCCTTTATTTTTATCCTTAACCCTTATCATTATACGAGGGAGTTTCAAAACATTTGTGGAAAAATGGAATTAAAGATAATGAAAAATTTCCAAGCTTTTGGAAGCCTTCTTGTATGAGATATAGTTTTACTTATTTATCATGTTTATTGTTTGTCTTCCCTTCTAGAAATAAGTTTTATGCTAACAGGAATTTTCAAACTATGATGCTGTAGTACCATTTAATACATAGTTCAAATATCTTATACATAGTTCTCTCAATAGGTATGTGTTAAAATACATAAAAAACTAAAACGATTTGGAAATGAACACCAGCTATCTTGCCTGATCAGTAGGAGCAATGATGCTCGAAGAGTAATAGCTGTCTACTGTCCTCAGAAATGAGTTGCTGCTAACTGCCTTTGAGGTGGCGCTAACTTATAGGGACCTTGTGTGGGGAGGTCAGACACTTACAGGCATCCTCCCAGAGGGTGATCAGTTGCCCAGACTGCAGGGGGCCCCATTCCCTGCTGTTTAAGGACAATGGACAGGCCCTCAGTCATCAATTTGGTTCCTGTAGGTGGAGTTTACACCCTACTGATAATGGTCTCTATCAGTTGAGCCAGGGAACAGGTCAAACCAGCTCTGTGACATCCAAAGTGAGGCTGTCATCCTGTATCTAGGATCCACCCATCTTGCCACATGTATACCCCCAGTCCCCCCTCTTCCTATTGCGTGGACACCCCTAGATCATCCCCTTCCACTACTGTGTTACCTATAGCACAACCCCTTCCTGTGACATAGGTCTTCTCCTGTAATTAGGGGCTTGCATGTTCCCAGAGAATATAAAAGCCTTGGCTAGCATTAAATAGCTCTCTCTCTCCATGTGGACCACCAAGCAGGGCTGAGGTGAGCATTGCTACCATGAACTGTGTCTGACTCCATTATTTCAATATTTCTCTTCTATCTCTCATGCTCTCTATGACCTTACTATAACCTGTACTTATTATCGCTGTACAATTGTGCCTACTGGACCCGTAATGATGTGCTAGGGACTGGCTTCCCCTTGCAGGACCTTTTGCGCAGCAGAACAAAAAGCTGCCCAGTCCCGCAGCCCCTTCAGGATCGCTGGTCTGCCACTGTTGCAATTACTGTAACAAGTCATTATTACTGCTTCCCTTGTGTTCGCTGACCCTAGACAGGAGGGGGTTGGTCTTAGGGCATGGCATATATAACTACATCTAAAACTTACCTTTGCTAGATGTATACAACAGTGCTGACTGAAAAGAAACCAACTGAGTGTCAGTAAGATTCTCTTCTACGGACATCTGTACTGCATACCCAGCATCTGGGTTTACGTTGGGCAAAGAGAGTAAGTCTGTTGACCGAACAAAGAAGTTCCCATGGAAAGTATGAATGGAAAGACCTAGAAGAGAAAGAGTAAACAAAATTATTTATATGCAATTATATATGGGTATTTGATCCTGGACAATTTTCAGACTGGCATAGATGAAAAACTTCAGATACTATGAATTATATAGTGACATTCCCCAAGAAAATAAGCTATCATTGGTGTATTTGCAATCTATGGATTAGAGGTTTAAGTATTTATTATCATTTGTTAATTATTATTTTAAAAAATTATATAGTGACAGTGAAGGATAATAGACATCTTTTTCTTTTTTCCTTGTTCAAGGTCTGTTTGTTGGCCTTTAGGAGTGTTTTCTGGTCGAATCTGATGGGGCGCCAAGCCCTGGCTCCAAAATCTATTTTTGGTATTTCCTTGGGACTTCCTTGTTCTGCTCCCCTTGCTGCTCTGTTGTATGCCCTTAGTGTTTTCCCTCGGTGTGGTGGGGTCAGACTGGGCGCGATTCCCACACTGTGTCTCCAGCGTTGTCCCCTGTAGGACTGTGGGTCAGTGAGGGAAGTCGTGTCTCGTAGTGGGATCAGCCATATGGTCCACTCTGTGCATTGGCTGTTCGGAGCAGGGATATCATCCTCCAGGCTTGGTGGGTCAAGGATGTGCTCCACTCTCTCTTCCTCCCCCTTCATTTGCTCCTGTGTGCTCTGATCAGACATGTCCCTCTCCCTGAACTGTAGCTTCAGTGCTGTTCTCTGAAGTAAATTCTTCTGGTGGAAGGGGCAGGTGTCCACGTAGTTGGGATTGGAGCTGGCCCCTCAGACCTCTCAAAAGATATCTTTTTCAATGAAGGTGGGAACATGGATATTTTAAAAACTTAAAAAGATAATTTGAGAATTTTGAAAATTCTAAATGAATGTTAGACTATAAAAATCTTAAACCTAAAAATTAATGTATAGACTTATACAAGTACCAAATTAATATGAGTAAAAGTAAGGGCACCCTCTCATTCCCTATGTTCCAGCATTCTTACTGTAATCTCTTTGGTGTATATTGCACTTTTCTACATATTTATATACTTATGTGTATCTCCATAGAAAATATCTAACATGATACATTTGCATATGTGCTATATTTTTAACATGTAATATGTCCAAAGGCTATAAGACAAAGTTTGACTATCCTCCCTTCTAAGGAGCATTCTCCATAGAAAATATGTAACATGATGTATTTGCATAAAAACCATATTTTTAATATGTAACATGTACAAAGGCTATAAGACAAAGTCTTACTATCCTCCCTTCCAAGGAGCATTCTGAGTATACTTCTCCCAAGGAAGACTGATGCACAGTTGAACAAAGAAACAAAAATCACTGTCATCAAGGTAATGCTGACTCAGAGCAACTCTACAATGACAGGGCAGTACGGCCGTGTGGGTTTCTGAGATGTGGGAGCTGGAAAGCCTTGTCTTTCTCCTGTACAATGGCTGGTGGTTTCAAACTGTTGAACTTGCTGTGTTCGCAGCCCAATGTATGACCACTACACCACTGGGGTATATTAAATAGCTTCTATTTTGCTAAGTAGAAAATCTTAAAAGGTCAGTCAATTTTCAAAGAATGGGACATCTCAAATGTGTCCTATAAGGAATAAACATTAAAAAATGACTAGAGGTAATATATAAGTTCAGCAAGGTTTCAATATACAATATCAATATATAAAAATCAATTGCATTTCTACAGAGTAACAATCAATAAGCAAAAATAGGAAACTAACACATTTATAATAATATTAAAAGGAATAAAACACTAGCAGCAGTTCTCAACCTGTAGGATGCGACCCCTTTGGGGGTCAAACGACCCTTTCACAGGGGTCGCCCAATTCATAACAGTAACAAAATTACAGTTATGAAGTAGCAACGAAAATAATTTTCTGGTTTGGGGTTACCACAACAAAAGGAACTGTATTAAAGGGTTGAAGCATTAGGAAGGTTGAGAACCATTGTACTAAAGAGTTGATTTAATAAATGTTGAAGTTATATTCAGAAAACTCTAAAATACTTTTGATGTCAATACAGATCTAAATAAATAGCTTGTGAATGAGATATTTTTATATTGGTAATTTGGCAGTATCTCTCAAATTAATCTTTTGACTCAATGCAATCCCTATAAAAATCCCAGCTGGGGAAAAAAAAATTTAAAGAAGAAAAAAAAACAAAAAACAAAAAAAACCCAGCTGGCTTTTTTGCAGAAATGAACAAGATGATCCTTAAATTCATATGGAAATTCAAGGAACCTAGAACAGCCAAAACAACCTTAAAAAAGAACAAAATTGGAGGAGACACAATTCCCCATTTCTTAATTACTACAAAGCAGTAGTAAACAAGACAATATGGTAATGGAACAAGAAGAGGTACATATCAACAGACTACAGGCTAACATGGATCAACTAATTTTTGTCAATGGTGCAAAAACCATTCAATGAAGGAAAGTATAATCTTCCTAAAAAAGATGCTAGGAGATTGAATATCCACAGAATAAAGTTAAGCCAAAAACAAAAATTACACCAAATACAAAAATTAATTTAAGGGGAACCAATTACAAGGATCTATATATAACCTCCTCCCTGCGGTACGGACAACAAAAAAGTGGGTGAAGGGAGACGTCGGACAGTGTAAGATATGACAAAATAAGAATAATTTATAAATTATCAAGGGTTCATGAGGGAAGGAGAGTGGGGAAGGGGGAAATGAGCTGATGCCAAGGGCTCAAGGAGAAAGCAAATGGTTTGAGAATGATGAGGGCAACAAATGTACAAATGTGCTTGACACAATGGATGTATATATGGATTGTGATAAGAATTGTATGAGCCCCTAATGATTAAAAATAATAATAACAAGTGGATCATGAACTTATGTAAGAGAGAAAACTAAAATTCTTAGGAGAAAAGAAGGGCATAAATCTTTGTAGCCTTAGATTATGAAGTGATTTTGTCTATAAAACAATAAAAGAAAAAAGTTATATATATATATATGAATAGACATCACTAAATTTTAAAACATTTATGCTTTTAAAGGCTACCATTTGAAAAAAGTAGAATGGCTAAAAAATTCTGCAAATTATATACTCTTATCTGATAGGAGATCTGTATCTGAAACATATAATGAACATTTACAAATCAATAATAAAAAGACAATCTAAATTTTAAAATAGGAAAAGGCTTGAATATACAGACAGACAAACAGCAAATAAGCAGATGAAAAAATGTTCAATACCTTTAATTATTAGAGAAATGTAAATCAAAACCACACCAAAGTACCACTTTGCATTGTCTAGGATGACTAATAAAAAATGACAGAAAATAAGTATTGAAGGAGAGGTCAAAGCAGACTCATGTATTGCTGATGGAGATGTAAGACAGTACAGCCACCAGGGAAATGGTTGAGCAGTTCTTCAAAAAGTTAAGCATAGAGTTACCAGATAACTCAGGTACAGACCCGGAGTTACCTGAAAGAAATTAAAACACATTGTACAAAAACTTATACGTGAACGCTCATAGCAGCATTATTCATAATATCTAAAGGTGGAAATCTAAGAGTCCAGCTGTAAGACTTTTATTTTCAGTTGTGGTATAATCCACTGCGAAGGCTGCAGTCTTGATCACCAGTAAGTGCTTCAGGTCTGCCTCACTCTCAGGAGAGAAGGTCGTGTTATCTCTACATCGCAAGCTGTTAATGACCTTGTCTCCAAGCTTAATAATGACTTCTCAGTCACATAGTTCAGCTTCCTGGATTATTTACCTAATATACAGATCAAAAAAGTATTGTGAAAGGATACAGCCCTGGCACACACCATTCTTGATTTTTAGTCATATAGTACCTTCTTGTTTTAAACAATCGCATCTCAGTGTTTACGGATTCTGAATGATGATTCTGGAATTCTCAGTTTTTGCAATGTTATCCATAATGTGCTACGTTCTACACAATTGAATGCCTTTGTATCGTCAATAAAAGGCAGATAAACATCTTTCTGATAGTCTCTGCTTTCAGTCAAGATCCATCTGACACCAACAATGACACATGTCACTACATGTTCTCTTCGGAGTCCACTTAAATTTTTGGCAGTACTGTTGCGATTATTTTTAAATTATCTTCAGCATGTCATATTAGTAATACAATCTGATAATTTCCACAATCTTCTGGGTCAACTTTCTCTGGTTATTATATTCACAACAGTGCCTAGGATTTTGTTTTGTGTTCACATTGTTTCTTCTCTTAACTATGTATTCTGTCAGAGTCAGCAAAGTATGGGAGAGTGTTAGTTTGGGTAGACTACAGACACAAATCCAGGGAGACTCATATGTGTACTACAGAGAGTCTTATATAGAAGGGAGATTGTCTATTGAGAAAACATCCCAGCCCAGTCCAGATCAAGTCCAGAAGTTCGATATTACCCCATATTTCGATTCTAGTCCATAAATTCCTCTTTAGACCCACGCAGTGATGCAATGACACTGAATGCAGGAAATATCACAGCCCAGTGGGTGGAAAGTCTCGGAGATATAGTTGTGGTAAAAGCGTCTCAGTGCTGGCATGGGTCTCCACAAGCTCCCCTAGCTCCGAGGCTCTGGCTGCCATTAGCCTGTCTCCATGTGGCTTGTCAACAAGAATGTCTTGCAGGGAGTGTGGGTGTGTCCTGCCTCCAGCAAGCTATTTACTTCCTTAGGGCCCCCAAATGAGGTCATCAAGCTCTGACCTGAATGACAGGCTAAACTCCATCCCTTTACTCTTAAGTCTCAAATTGACAACAGATTATGTAACTATCATCGAGAACTTCAAAAGTTGGTTGAAATTTTTCATAATTATTTTTTAAATTCACAGACCATACAGTTCAATGGTTTAAATATATTAAAGTGTAGTGCAATCATCACCACAATTTTAATTAATACATTTTCTTCATTCTTGTATCCATTACTATTAGCTCCTCATTATGTTCTAACCTCTCCTGCTATAACCCCAAGGAATTATTAATCTAGTGACTGTCTCTTTAGTCTCTGGATTGCATATAAAGAAAATCATATTTAAAATGTCCAAGGACAACAAAATAAAACAGAAAAAATCTTAATCCTAGAGAAAGCAGAAGGTAATAGCAACTAGAACAAATTAAAACTGAGTCAAAGGGAAACAAATGATCATGTTAAATTTTAACCTAACATCTGTAATCCACTTTCAAATGCACTCTGAAGGCAAGATTATTTACATTGCTGGTGGGGACTTGGTGGGTTTTTGGCTTTCACTGTCATCCATAGCCTTTTGAAATCTGGGTGCTCAGATTTTAAGCTCTAATACAATTTCCTCCTTTGATCTTAGATTTTATTATTTATAATTCTTATCACACTCTGTGTATACTTAGCTGACAGTTCACTTAGATGGTTGCTTGAAGACAAGCCTTTAAGACACCAGATGGCTGAGCACAATCTGATTTCTTCACCACACATTCCTATAGAACCCATGTCTTCAGTGATCGCTCCAGGAGGGCAAGTATTGGGCAGGGTCACCTCATAACAATTAATTGCTCTTAGGTTGGGGATTTTTCCATTGTCTTTTAACTCCATTTTCCACACACCTTTTAAAGTTCCCTCATAACTTTGAAGAGTATATTTTACAAGACTATGTAAAAACAACTATATTTTGGGGTATCATAAACATTTGTTCTTAGTAAAAGCTTGTGTCCCTACCTTTGGTGCACCGAATTCTCATGACTGCTTCAAAGCCAATCTTGCGAGTGAGGTATCTCTGCAGTTCTTTCTGTAACTTCCGTACTTGGACTGGGTTATGCTGATGATGATAGGAGGGGTAGTAACAGACACTACCTGCTGAATACCGGGAAATACAACCTGGAAGAGAATGCACAAGCCTTATAAACTATACAGCAAACTACGATCACTACCTCAAAGTAACTAAGGCATTTAAATCAATCCTGCTTTAACTTTCCAAGATACAGAAGTATAGACATTTCTCTGTACTAAACATTTAGAACAAAAGACTGTACTGTTCATAATAGACTAAATTGTTTAGAACTCTTCCAAGGGATTAAAAATTCTTTAGTTGTACTCTACCTTGAATACTATCATATAAATAGTATTTGATATGCACTTGAGAAAAAATAATCATGAGAACTTACCCAGAGAAGCCAGATCTGAATACTGTCCACTAAGAAGGAATAAGTCAACAGCTACCTGCTGACCAGAACAGTCCAAGGCTAATTTCTTATAAAAGTCAGTGGATGGTGTCAGATGTATTTCCTATTAATAACAAATGACAATGATTAATCTTAAAAAATAATTACAGTAATTGTCATACATTTTAAATATATATCAACATTGCTAAGAATGATTATCTCTGGGCATTACACAAAATCTTTCGCTCTGTTAGATTTTCTGATTTTTTCTTAAGTAAGAAGCCTTACTACTAGTAATTTTCTATATTTTGTTTGTTAGTTTGGTTTAAATTTGTTTCTATAATTTGTTTAAAAGAAATGAAAAAAAGAGGAAGAAATGCAACTAACATAGGTACTCATTTCCTGATTAGTAAAGATAAACATTTTTTACAACTAAAATCTATTAAATGCTTATTATACTGGAAATTGTTCTAAACAATTCATACATACTATCTATTTAATCCCCTCAAGCACTCTGAGATAGGTGTCATCATTATTTTACACACACAGACATGTGCACTTAGGAAAATTCATGGAAAATGGAATAAAACGATAATGGGATTTTCCCATAAACTTTTAAAAGACCCCTCATATAGATGTAAAAATGCAGAGCAGCAGAAATCACATAACTATTCAAGCCATACATCCAGTGTTGCCAGGTGCGGTGGCGCTGGTTCCAACTCACAGTGACACCGTACAACAGACTTAAACATCACCTGGTCCTGAACCATCCTCACGATTGTTCTTCTTGATCCCATGTTGCCGCCACTGTGTCATTCCATCTTGTTGAGGGCCTTCATTTTTTGGCTACCCCTCCACTTTACCAAGTATGATGTCCTTTTCCAGAGATTGGTCTCTTCTGATAGTATGCCCAAAATATGCGAGACAAACTCTTACCATCCTTGCCTCTAAGGAACACCGAGGCTGTACTTCCTCCAAGACTCCCATTAAGCAGTAGTATTTAGACAGTCAACACTATGCCTGACACCATTATAGCAAACAACTTTTGCTCCCATAATCTGTGGGAAAGGTCTCAAACTCTAAGTTTATACATACAAAGTGCTCACATGCAATCCTTGACAGTCACTACTTATATACCAAATTATGACTATTCCAAACTGGTCATCTAGGATCTACTTTGTTCCTAAGCAGCATATTCTCTTACTCTGCCAGATTTTTCTATCAAAGGCAAGTTGGATTGCTAGTGGCCTGCTTAAAAACCTGAGAGTGAAAGAAGGTGGATCATGTGAGAGAATAATGGAATAAGCTGGGAATGACTGTAAGAGAGAGAAAATGCCTACAAACTCCCTTATATTCACTCCCTTCCCCCAACTGAAAACACACACACACACACACACACACACACACACACTCTATGATCAAGGGACAGAGCATCAGCATACAACTTATACAATGATAGCTGTCTAACCTTAGCAGATGACCTGTGGTTGGGTTCCTCTCGTGGTTTCAGGGCTCCCACTCCAAGAGTTGGGAGTTGTGTTTGAAAGACAGACATTCGACCACCAGTTGGGGACATCAACTTAAAGGCAGCCTGAAGCGCAGGGCCCAAGGCACTCTGGGTCTCCAGAGTCTTCCCAAACATTTGTGGCAAAGTTTTCAGTAAATCTTGGACAAGCTTGTGAAACAAAGCAAGAAAACTCAAGAGAGTTAGATTATAAATATACTTTCCCCCCACAGTACGTCAATAACTAATACAATAGACAAGAGACATTGAATCATGATGATGGTTAGAGAATCTACAGACAATACAATAAGCAATGAGACTCTCAAATGACAAGAAAGCCATTTTAAGTCAACATTATAAATCGGCGAGCAAGACAAATCAAAATTGGGGCCTTATAGTCCTTGCACATGCAATCATCTAGCAAAACTATAAGTTCAAAATGTACCAAAAGAACCATCCCAGTTTATATTTATTTTACTGCCATGAAGATGACCTTCTCAATGACCTCTACATACTCAATTCTTTTCATCTTCAAAGTGAGTTTAATTCTTTCCTCTTGCAAAATCTAAAATATCCAGTAAATTTGCCATCTAGCATTATCATTACAAAAGGAAAACAAAATAAAAAAACAAACAAAAACCCAACTACCTATATTCAAGTTGTTTTTAATTACAAATAAAAACAGTTATGGGTGAAAAATTCTTTGCACTATGGCAAAATCACCATTGCCAACAGCTGAGACCACAGCCTTGCTAGTTTCAATGTTACCCCTGTGGCACAGGTGCATGGACAGGGTAGACCACACCTCCTCAGACACCTTCCGTGCACCTCTCACTGTATTATGTCACGGCAATTTCCCGGCAGGCAGTACGAGTCTCTTCTGAACTGACCCAATGACACACTGTGAATCCGAAAAGTGAAGGGCACTGAAGGCAGTCTAGCTCACGGGCTCCTATGTTGTGACCAGATGCTTGATCTCAGCAACCCTCCCAACTTCCTGAATGGCTGGCAAGACTGGTTCCCTTTAGGCTTTCCTCCTTTGTGGAAAGGCTTATTTTCCACCTCATTAAAAGTAACTTGCTGCCAAGACTTAAAAAGTCACCTCACAGGCAAATCAAGAGCTGCTCAATATAATTTACTTTTAACTATGACCAAATATAACGTGTTACATATCTTAGAAATGTCAAAGAAAGAAGCAAAGTTTACTTAAAAGTTCATTTAAAAAATATACTCCTTCAGTATTTCAACTAAACATGTTGGGTAAGAAAATGTGCCTTACCGTATCATCAGAACAAAAAATCTTACCATAGTGAATGATGGGGGGAGTGCGGAGTGGAGATCCAAAGCCCATTAGTAGGCCACTGGAGATCCCCTTGCAGAGGGGTCTCGGGGAGGAGATGAGCCAGTCAGGGTGCGATGTAACAATGATGAGAAATACAACTTTCCTCTAGTTCCTAAATGTTTCCTCCCTGCTCCCACTACCATGACTCGAATTCGATCTTGCAAGTCTGGCTAGACCAGAGGATGTACACTGGTACAGATAGGAACTGAAAATACAGGAATCCAGGGCGGATGAGCCCTACAGGACCAGGGGTGTGAGTGGCGAAACAGGGAGGGTAAAGGCAGAATGGGTAGGAAAGAGGGAACCGATTACATTGAACTGTGTGTGACCTCCTCCCTGGGGGACAGAAAACCGAAAAGTGGGTGAAGGGAGACATCGGACAGGGCAAGATATGACAAAATACCCATTTATAAACTATCAAGGGCTCATGTGGGAGGGGGGAGCGGGGAGGGAGGAGGAAAATGAGGACCTAATGTTGGGGGTTTAAGTGGAGAGAAAATGTTTTGAGAAATGATGTACAAATGCGCTTTACACAATTGATGTGTGTATGGATTGTGATAACAGTTGTATGAGCCCCTAATAAAATGTTAAATAAATAAATAATTTTTCAAAAAAAAGAAAATGTGCCTTACCTCTTTACTTTCATTTAAATTTACTAGTAAGTTCTCTGGCATAGGTATAAAAACATCTGAAAGAATAAACAAATAAGTATTTACTTAAAACAAAATGTAATTGTTTACATTTCAAAGTAACCACCCCCACCTATAAAGAAAATCTACCTCTCTCACTCTTAGAGTACTGTCTGTGTATGTCCTAAGAGCCATCAAAGGAATGCTGATTCAGGTAGTCATTGCTTCTTGCCTACTACCTTGTAAAAACCTCCCAGTTAAAAAAGCATTTATCAGTAAGCACTCAGTGCATGCAAGTGCTCTGGTTTTCACATTAAAGGCAATTTCGAATGCTGCTTTATCACCTTGCTCAGCCTTGGAAGGCAGATAAAGGTCCCTCTGTTGTTGTTGTTAGGACCATCACAGTGGTTCCCGAGCGACCCTATGTGCCCAAGACAAGACACTGTCTGGTTCCATGCCATCCCCACAACTGTTGCTAAGCTTGAGCACACGACTGCACCACCTTATCAATCCATCTTGTTGAAGGCCTAGAGCAGTGGTTCTCAACCTTCCTAATGCCGTGACCCTTCAATACAGTTCCGCATGTTGTGACCACCCCCAACCATAAAATTATTCTTGTTGCTACTTCATCACTGTAATTTTGCTACTGTTATGAAGCCGGTAACCCCCGTGAAAGGGTCGTTCAACTCCCAAGAGGTTGCGACCCACAGGTTGAGAGCCACTGGTCTAGAGAGTCACTCTAGGTTTTAAAAAATATGTTGACTAACAAGACACACATGACTCTTATTTTTCACAGAAGTAACAGAGATCACCAAATGCTCTGTCATTCAGAAAGCAGGGCGTGCTCAGAAGTTTCCACCAACTAATAGGACTAAAAGATTACGTAAATAATAAAGTATATTAGCTGACTACATCAAATGAATTTCTCAGAATTCAAATTTACTAGGAATTAAATTCCTCTTCTGAGAGGAATGCAAACATGGAAGGTAAAATGGGTGGTGATGGGAGATTATAAATGTTTCACTGTTAAGATATACTTCACATACCAGAAACCCCATCCCTTAAAGGATATAATTTTGTGATGTTTAGCATATTCAGAATTGTGCAATTACCACTATCAAATTCCAGAACTTTTAAATCATCTCTCAAAGTAATCCCAAAGATACTAATAGTCACACTCCCTATTTGAATTTAGCTCCTCATTCCTAAACTTCTGGCAACCACTAATCTACTTTCTATCTCTGTGGATTTGCCTATTTAGGGCATTACCTATAAATGGAACCATATGATATGTGCTCTTTTGTGTCTGGTTTCTTTCACACAGCATAAAATTTAAAGATCTATCTGAGTTGTAACATTTATCAATACCTCATTCATTTTTATTGCCTTATTTTCTACTAAATTTACATCACATTTTGTTTAGCTGATAGATAATTGGGTTGTTTCCAATTTTTAGCTACGCTGCTATGAACATTCATGTAAAAATATTTTGTGTGGACACATGCTTTTCATTCTCTTGGGTACATATCTAGGAATGGAATTCCTGATCATCCTGCAGCTCGGAAGGGGCTTTGGTAGCATAATGGGTAAGCACTTGGCTGCTAACCACAAGGTCAGCTGCTAACCATACCAGCAGCTCCTTAGGATGAAAGACTGATAAGCTCTCAAAAAATTAAATAAAAAGACAAACTCACTGCCATGAAGTCGATGCCAACTACAGCTTAGGAAACCTTGTGGGGCCGTTCTACTTTGTCCTGTGGAATTCACTGTGAGTTGGACTTGATAGTGCACAACAGGCAACTTTATGTTTAATTTTTTGAGGAACTGCCAATTGTTTTGCAGAGTGGTTGCACTATTTTATATACCCACTAGCAAAGTACAGTACATGGGTTCTCGTTTCTCCACATCCTTGCCAGCATGCGCTATTGTTAGTCTTTTTTACTTTAGTCATTTTAATTGATGTGAGGTAGTATCTCCTTGTTATTTTGTTTTCCACTTTCCTGAGAAGTCTGATGTGAAGTATATTTTTGTGTGCTTATTAGCTTTTTAGAACAGCCCTGGTGGTGTAGTGGTTATGAGTTGGGCTGCTAACTGCAAAGTTAGCAGTTTGAAACCACTAGCCACTCCTCTGGAGAAAGACAGGACTTTCTACTCTTGTACAGAGTTGCAGTCTCGGACACCCACAAGGGCAGTTCTACCCTGTCCTATAGGGTTGCTCTTGGTTGGCATTAGCTCTATGGCAGTGAATTTGTTTGTTTTTAAGCTATTTGTATATATAAACTATTGACTATTGAATGTATATTAAAATCTTTTGTCTATTTTTAAATTTGGTTGTCTTTATAAAGTTGTAGGAATTCTGTTTATGTTATAGATAGACATCCCTTATCAGACACAATTGGAATTTACTAATTTACTGCTATTCTGTAGATTATCTTTTCACTATCTTGATGATGCCCTCTGAAACACAAATGTTTTGAATGTCAATGAAGTCCAATTTATCTATATTTATCTAGTTGCTTGTTTTTGATATCATATCTAAGAAGCTACCCACTGCTTAATTCAAGGTCACAAAAACATATTTCTCAGTTTTATTCTAAGTTTTATCATTTTAGTTTTCACATTTAGGTCTATAATCTATAAGTTTTATATATGATTTGCGATAGGGGTATACATATTCTTTTGCAACATAGATATCTAGTTCTGGCTTTATTTGTTGTTTTGTGAATAAAACACTATACTCACTAGCCTTAGAGAATAACAAGAGTTAATTCAAGTGCAATGCTTCCATTTCCTCTTCTGTTGTTGTGTCCTAATGACCTATGTACAACAGAACAAAACACTGCCTGAGCCTCCTCCACGCTCATGATTGTTGTGCTGGAGCATACTGTTGCATTTCCTCTCATAGACAGCTACTCTATTTAAGTCAAGGGAAAATAAGTGCCAAATAATAAACTAAGTAATACAGTTTTGTTTAGCTAAGAATATTCCTTGATACTCAACCAAATGTACTTGAGAAAAAATATTAACTGACTTGAGCCACAAAATATTAGGATCTGAACAATATCCTTTTTTCTGAACAATATCTTATAGCTAAGAGGCTTCTAAGAAATCCTAAAACGTCAGTAATCTTAGCCTGACTCAATCAATAGATATAGAACATTAGTAACTTTTACTCTCAGTATTCAGTTATTGCTCATGAAAGTCTTACAACTTAAAAAATCTGAATATGTATCTTTAAATTTTAATAATCTTCGATTATGTCACTAATTCATAATATGTATCTTTATACTATATATAAAACCAAAAGCCTTTTCTGCCCCCAGTTCATCTAGTAGCCATCCCTCTTCATTTCCATTCGTATCTTATTCATTTCCTTCAAAGTAATCCATTCCATGTAACTTTAGTGTTGATTACTCCGCATCGCCTTTCTCTTCACGAGATGAGCTCCATATTAGCAGGAGACCTGGCTGCCTTTGCTCACTAAGCGTCCCAGAATAAGCGGCAAAATACTTTCCTCATTAGTGCATGAGGCAAATGAGACAACTTAATGAGTTCTAACACTAACTTGTTTTTGTTGTCTTGTTCAGAATTCACTCTACCTCCGTGACCCTGATTCCTTTTCTATAAAGCGAGAGATTAAAGGGCAGTTACAGCTCCTAGTGATCTTACAATTTTATATTGAGGATTTTGCTTGATAAAGTAGATTCACACAATATACGCATTAATTTATCAAATAGTCACAATATGTATTTAAGGCTAAAATTTACTAAGGCAGCTCAATAACTTTAAGTATAAACACATACCGTCAATATCTGAAACTATTAGCATCTGCGGTTGAGAGAGACCTTCTTGAAGACTGTAGAAATGGATTGTACTATCAAATGTTATGAAGCCAATTTTCGTTCTAGTGTTGCCAGGAAGCCTAAAAATAAATTCAGAAGAGACTTTTATCAAAATCTCCCACATGTATGTATTAACATATACATACACTACATATTTGTAAGTAACAAGTAAATATCTAAGTTATCATTGTGGAAATTGTCCTGATGGAAACAGAAGCAATAGACGCAATGTTTAAAAATTTTGAAAGCATACCTTATTCAAAATAGAAAGACCAGATATAAGGTAAATAATTTAAGAAATTGTATGCAAAAAACCCCTAAAAGATACTTATATGTATAAAAATTTACAGATAACTTATTATTCCAACTCTAAAATATAATATACATTTAGGCTGTTCATCTCTTTGAAGAGGCTTGTCCAAACCTCTTCTTATATTGTTTTAATGCATTTAATTAAAATTCAAAGAGCAGCAAAGCATCTATTTCAGACAAGTCAAATATGTGGAACTACTGTTTTGTAAAAGGAAAGATACATTGGTTTTCATTCTCATGGTTCATGCTTGGATGAGTGAGTATCATTAGACTTATCAACAAACAACCTCCATATATAACTCACAAACTTAAATATAATAATGTTGCCATTTTCAACAAGGTGAGGGGGTTAACCTTTTTCTGATGAGATTAAGCCTTTCAAAATCTTCCATATTATGCAACTGTAATTTACTGAAAGGTCACACTAGCCCATATGAATTACACTAAGTATATAAAGACGGCTTAAAATACTTAAAAATATTTTAAGAACCTTAAGAGACACTATAACCAAATGCAATGTGTATACAAGTTACAGTTAAAAAGACAATTTCCAGAAAATGAAGAATAAAAAAATGAAGGTGGGTATGAGATCATTATAAACTCTTACTGTATTTTTACCCATGTAACTAAATAGTGCAAACACACACAGAACATGCACAGTGAGCATAGGAGACGAATGTAAAAGGGGAGTGTGTGCATGCTCCAGCCCCATCCCTGCCAAACTCATATAATGTGCACATTATTTCCAAAAAACACAGTGCTGACTATTTTGTTATGATGCTAGGATTGCAGTTGGGATTAAAAACCAAAACAAAACACCCCTAAAGTATTTACAAGTGAAACGACATGCTATCTGAGATCTGCTTTCAAATGCTAAAGAGAACAAAAGGAGTGTGTATATGGAGGAGTAGGTAAAACAAGAACCAAAAATGAAGAAAAACGTGAAGCTGGGGTACAGGTACGTGTACAAAGTCCTTACATTTCTCTTTCTGCTAATATGTTGGAATATTTCTCCACAATAAAGAGGTAACATTTTTAAAGGTTAAAACAAATATTTCAAATGGAAAGAGACTTAATGAATGATTTAAACGTACTTTTAAAAATTTACATTTTGTTTTGTATATTCTCTACAACAGGGATCCTCAAACTTTTTAAACAGGGGGCCAGTTCATGGAACCTCAGGCCCACTGGAGGGCCGGACTATAGTTTTAAAAAAACTATGAACAAATTCCTATGCACACTGCACATATCTTATTTTAAAGTAAAAACACAAACGGGGCAAAAACACCCAGCGGGCCGGATCAATGTCCTCGGTGGGCCGCAGTTTGAAGACCCCGGCTCTACAACAACAAAGTAAATTTAGAGTAAAAATACAGAACCATTATTGTACTTTAAAACCATTTGTTCACTCTGCCAACACTGTTCACTTTAGATTTAAGCTGAATGAAGACACTTACAAATCCAGATTGTCTAACAAACTCTGGCAAACCAAATTCAAGTATCCAGTTTCAATTGCATTATGAGATACATCAAATACAAAGAGGTACACAGGAGGTTGAGGTGGTCGTAACTAAAGAAAATAAAAAGGATCTCGTTAAATACATTTAACAGGATTGAATTTACACTTACATTTGTCTTATAACTAAGATATCGTGTTCAACTACGAAATGGTGAAACAATCATGGGTGAAGAAGAGAGAGAGCAGCATAACTACACTACATGGTGTACATATGCACAACTACGAAAGAAAAGTGAGGATGTGCGTGTCATACAATCCGATGACTGCTGTTTCTAGGACAGAAAAGGAGACTGTGATCAAAAGAGCTTCTGGGAATATTGGCAATATTCAATTTCTTAAACTGAGTAGGACCACTCTGGACATTTACTTAACTAATTATCTGGTAGGCCATACATCTTTAAACTTTTGGTATATGCATTATATTCACCACTTCGGGAAATTATAGCTCTGAAAGTGACTAACCAATTTAGTCTATTATTTAACCAACACATTTAAGCCAAATTTCAAAAAAAATGTGATATTCTACATTTTAAACTTCTAAACCTCATTTTGTTATTAATTTCATAAAAGGCATCAAATATCCAAAACCAAAATTACATAAAAAGTATGTAAGTCAAATGGCTTCAATTGGCCAGACAGTGAAAAATAACTACACAAAAATATATTAAGATATTAAAAGCTGGTGTTAACTATATAGCAAGTGGACTAAGTTTTATATATTAATATTTATCAAATAAACATCGATATTTATCAAAAAATTACCCTAAATATAAATATTGAACTTAAATACATAACAAGTAAGTACAGTAGCTTTGGCTGATTGTCTTGTGTTTTGATTTCAAAGGGCATTCTTTCTACTCTTGATAAACTGACTGGACTTGGAATCTACTTACAAATCAAATTTCAAGTTTGTGTTTTTTAAATTAATTCTATATACATGTTAATTCAAAAAAAAAAGCTGGTGTTAGCTCTTATCTTCATATTCCCCTTTTCCTTTGAAGTTGTTATATCACAGTCCAAGAGTAAGGAAATCAAAATGTCAGAATTTTTATGCAAACTTTACCATGTACTAAATGATGTTTGGCAAATAAAATAGGCTTAATAGCATTTCTCTAGCTTACTGTAGAAAGTAGTTTATGAGGATCAAACTACACAAGTACTTTATAAAACACAGTTAATTAAATACTACTCGGCATTAATGATTAGTATATTTTCAAGCTGCACTCGCTCACTGCACTGAGTGATTCTGACTCACAGCGATCCGATAAGACAGAGGACTGTCTCTGTGTGTTTCTTTTATTTGTTTCTTTTTTTTTACCCCGTGGGTTTCTGAGGCTGTAAATCTTTATAGCAGTGAAAACTGTTAAGATCTGAGATATTCAATCATAACATTATTTGTAACAAAAAAAGGTCAGAAGTGACTTACAAATAAATGTAATCCTAACATATTGCAAATTTCTGAGAAGGCAAGCAAGATTTAAATGGAACTTTTACATAAACTTTTTTTTCAACATACCCTTATAAAACATAAAATCCTAATAAATGATATGATGTTTTATTTAAAGCCCAGTGTAATGTAATGAGTATGCTATGCTGTTTAAAATGATGGACGCTTACCATGTACTCTGAAGGAGCCATGAACTCAATGGTAGCATTCTGAACTTCAGGTCTTCTGTGAGGTTCTCCATACACCCGGGTCAAAGGGTTGTACATAAATTCTTCAGGGACTGTGTAAAGTTAGCAGCACATAAAGATAAAACTAGTAGTTTAAGTTTAATAAACATTGCCTTTGGTTATTTTCTTAATTAAGGAATCTATAAATAATATTGACTCAACATTATGAGATAAATACATGTTTTGTGAGATTCATTTAAGTTTTTCATATACTAACGCTGGACTAAATGTATCTTGTTTTTATATCTATAATCACTGTAATTTTTCTTTTTCTATTTCTTGATTCCTTTGTCTTATTTTTTGCTAAAGCTGCATTTCTAAAATAGTTTGGATGACATTACATGCAAATTATTTCTTAAATGCAAGATTTGTCTTCAATTTCAAAATTGTATAAGGATATCAACTCTTTAAAGAATGGTGGTGGTGGAGTGAGTTATATGCTAGGCTGCTAACCGCAAGGTCAGCAGTGTGAACCCACCAGCGGCTCCAAGGGCGAATGATGAAAGACTTTCTATTTCTGTGAAGATTTACAGCCTTGACTACCCAAAGAGGCAGCTCCAGTCTGTCCTATAGGGTTACTATGGGCCAGAATCAACTTGATGGCAGTGGTTTGGGTTTTTTTGTGCAGGGGAAATTGATGCATCATTTGTCAGGCTCTGGCTGAACTCAAATAGTTCCTGGGTAGCACAAATAGTTAATCTGCTCAACTATAACTGAAGTGCTAAGATTTGGACTCCCCCAGAGATGCCTTGGGAACTCTGGTGGTGTAGTGGGTTATGCACTGGGCTGCTAACCACAAGATTAACAGTTCGAATCCACCAGCTGCTCCTTGAGAGAAAGATGTGGCTTTCGACTTCCACTAAGAGTTACAGTCTCAGAAACCCCCAGGGGCAGTTCCACCCTGTCCTATAAGGTCCCTAAGAGTCAGCATCAGCTCAACGGAAGTGAGTTATGGAACATGAGTTGTTTTATAACACCACTTATAATATTGTTCCAAGAGTATTTTCTAAATTAATTATGATTGCATCTATCTTCCCAGTAATTTAGGATGTTTAGGAATTAAAATCTCTATGGACTCTAATGGGTAAGCTAAAGTTCATTAAAGTTCATAAAGCTAAATATGACTTCAATCTTAATTACAATTTCATTCTACACTTTGAAGCTCATGATTTTACAGTTGAACTACACATTATAAAAACATGTTCTGAATTATTATAGAGTTAAGAGTTCCTTTCTTATCCACAATTACTGTATATGCTCGAGTATAAGCTGACCCGAATATCAGCTGAGGCACCTAATTTTACCACAAAAACTGCATAAAAAATGTGTTGAAAAACTTGGCTTATACATGAGTATATACGGTACTTCTTTTCTGAAAGCACACATACAGTATACACAAATTTAAAATGGATTAAGAACCTAAATGTATAAGCTAAACAAAATCTTAGAATAAGCAGAGACATGTTATCATTAGGCCTATATTTCAACAATGAGTTCACCAATGTAATAACAAAAGTACAAATAGCAAAATAGAAAATAAATGGGCATCATAAAAATGAAAAACTGGTTTATCATAAGACTTACCCCCAAAATACAAAGTACTGACTGGAATAATATCTTCAGAAACCATATATCTAACAAGAATCTCTCATAATCAGAATGTATATAAAACTTTAACAACTTCATAATTAAAAGACAAATAGCCCAATCATAAAATAGGCAAAAGACTTGGTTGGACCAAAGAGGGCATTCAAATGGCCACCAAACATATTAAAACAAAGAAAGATGTGGACAGCACTGAAGCTGCAGCTCAGGGGGAAGGACATGTCTGATCAGAGCACATGGGAGAAAATGAAGGGAGAGGGAAGAGAGAGTGGAGCTCATCCTGGCCCACCAAGCCTTGAGGACGGTATCCCTGCGCAGAGCAGCAAAGCACAGAGAGGACCATATGGCCGGCCCCACTAAAAGACTCGACATCCCTCACTGACACATAGCACTACAGGGGACAACACTGGAGACACAGTGTGGGAACTGCGCCCAATCTGACCCCACCACACCGAGGCAAAGGACTAAGGGTGTGACAGAACAGTAAGGGGCAGAGCAAGGTAGTCCAGAGGGAATTCCGAAAATAGACTTTGGAACAAGAGTGTGGCACCCCATCAAAATTGACCAGAAAACACTCCTAAAGGTCAACAAACAGTCCTTGAACTATTTAATGACTTTTCCCTTTTTATGGTCATTGGTGTTTTATTATTTTTGTTATTGTTTTGTTTTCTTTTGTTGCTTTGTTTTGCTTTGTCTTTTTTGTGTGCATATTATTATCTCTGCAGGACAATCTGGAGGAGAAAACAATGGACCGATGGTTCTGGGGGGGACAAGGGAGAGGAGGAGGCGGGGGAAAAGGAAGTGGGTGTTAACAACCTTAGGGACAAGGGAACAAGTGATACAAAATAGATGGCGAGGAGCGTGTGGGAGGCCTGGTAAGGTTTGATCAAGGACAATGTAACCGAGAGGAATTAGCGAAACCCAAATGAACTGAGCATGATAGTGGGACAAGAGGTAAGTAAAAGGAAATAGAGGAAAGAACTAGGAGGCAAAGGGCACTTATCGAGGTCTAAATACAGGCATGTACATATGTAAATATATTTATATATGACGATGGGAAAATAAATCTAAGTGCATATATTTATAGGTCTTGTATTAAGGTAGCAGATAAACAGTTGGCCTCCACTCAAGTACTCCCTCAATGCAGGAACACTTTGTTCCATTAAACTGGCATTCCATGATGCTCACCTTCCCGACACGATCACTGAAGGCACAGTGATGCATAAGTAAATGTGGTGAAGAAAGCTGATGGTACCTGACTATCAAACGATATAGCATCTGGGGTCTTAAAGGCTTGAAGATAAACATGTGGCCATCTAGCTGAGAAGCACCAAAGCCCACGTGGAAGAAGCACATCAGCCTGTGTGATCACAAGGTGTCGATGGGATCAGGTATCATGTATCAAAGAACAAAAAATTATATCGTTGTGAATGAGGGGCAGTGTGGAGTGGAGACCCAGAGCCCATCTGTAGGCAATTGGATATCCTCTTACAGAAGGATTGTGGGGAGGAGACGAGTCAGTCAGGTTGCAGTGTAGCAACAATGAAACACACAACTTTCCTCTAGCTCTTTGATGCTTCCTTCTACCACTATCATGATCCCAATTCTACCTTACAAATCCGGCTAGGCCAGAGCATTTATACTGTACAGATCAGAGCTGGAAACACAGGGAATCCAGGACAGATGAACCCCTTAGGACCAGGGGTGAGAGCAGCGATATCAGGAGGGTAGAGAGAAGGTGGGATAGAAAGGGGGAACCGATCACAAGGATCTACATACAACCTCTTCCTTGGGGGACGGACAAAAAAAAAGCGGTGAAGGGAGATGTTGGACAGTGTAAGACATGATAAAATAATAATAATTTATAAATTATCAAGGGTTCATGAGGGAAGGGGTGGGGAGGGAGGGCAAAAATGAGAAGCTGATACCAAGGGCTCAAGTAGAAAGCAAATGTTTTGAGAATGATGATGGCAACAAATGTACAAATGTGCTTGACACAATGGATGGATGCATGGATTGTGGTAAGAGTTGTATGAGCTCCCAATAAAAGGATTTAAAAAAAGAAAACAACAAATTCAACATCATGAGCCATCTGAGAGATACAACCCAAAGATCTGAACACTAAGACCCAGAGACTTGTACACCAGTGTTCACTATAACACTTTCGCACTAGTCAAAAGGTAGAAACAACCTAAATGCCTATCAACATGAATGGATAAACAAAATGTGATATTGATATATATGAGAAATGAAGTCCAAATACATGCTACAGTACAGATAGAGCTTGAAGATATTACACTGAAGGAAATAATTTAATCACAGGACGAATTTTATATTGCTTCACTTATATGTCAATGTATAGAGATCAAAGATTATTAGGAGTGGGAGTAAGGCAGGGAGATGGTGTTAAGGGTGACAGAAAAATCTCAATGATTAAGCACAACGGCTGCACTATTAATTATTGTGGTAAATGCACTGTATTCCTAAAAAATGTTTAACTGGCAAAAGTTGTATGATAAGATATATTTATAACAACAACAACAAAGAACAACATGAACACTGTGGTAAAAAATTATATAGAAGAATCCTGATCTTAAAAGGGGGAAATACTGAACAGAATCTCAAATCTCACAGACTCTAGACTTTCTGGCACCATGGAAGTGCATGAAACCCTGAAATTTATTGTCCTGAGATCACCTTTGAACTTTAAACCAAAAATATTCCTTGACATCATCTTAAAACGGAAACAGTTTAGCATAATTAGTAAAACAAAGATCTGCCTTGAGCATTATGCTCTTTAAAGAACTATCTAAAAAAAAAGAACTATCTATACGGGGGTCAATGCTCAAGAGCTACTGAAAAGGAACAGAAACTTTTGGGGGCAATGAGTTTGAGCAGCAACTCCGAAAACACACTGCCATTGAGTCCATTCTGACTCATAGTGTCCCCACCGGACAGAGGGGAACTGGCCCTCTGGGTTTCTGAGACTTCAAATATCTACAGAAGACAGTCTCACTTTTCCCCTCGGAACAACTGGTGGGTTTTAACCACTAACCTTGTAGTTAGCAGTACAGAGTGTAACCTACTGTGCCACCAGAGCTCCTCCAATTTAGAAAATAATGGTGAAAACGATTGCAAACTATTGAACCGGTATATATTTTGTCATATATATTACCAAGAACAAAATAAATTACAAAATAAATGTAAGGACGCATATAAACAGTGAAACTGGCTGTAAAGAAATCTCATATTCCTCTATCTTCAAACTTTTAATGAAATTTCTTCCAGAGACTTAAACTCATACTTACAATCATACTTTTTTCTCTATCCCAAAGAAATCTCATTATGTGACATTCCTCAAGCGTGAATTAAGTTGTAAAACAGTTACTGAAAGACATCCTTCTCCTCAATTACTGAGAAAACTACATTTAACTAACCTTCTAAGCATTGCCCACTTCCCTTCATCGAGCAGCCAATGAATCGGGTAGCTATTCTGTGGACTATTTTCTTTCACTCCAGAGATAAGGCATGGGATGACCTCTAAATAAAATGTTGTCTTAAATTATTGGTTTAAGTAATACCATGAATTATGCACACAATATAATAAATCTAAAAGTGGTTTCAAGGTAGTATTATCACATTTTTTGTTTAAAAAGTATAGAGATGTTTATTTAAAGTATAGACATATTGAAAAAAAAAGTAACCAGTTCTCTCTGAGTGGAAAGATTACAGATAAATAAGAAGTGCTTCCTTTTGTGTGTGTTGTTTTCTTAACGTCACACCTGTATCTGATTTTCCTACAAATGTAAGGAAATATTTTTAAATGATTACAAAAGAATACATACCATCATTGACTCGGTAACATAAATTACACTTCCATCTCCTTTGGTCAAGAAAGCTGACAAAAGGATTGATGTATGTTCTGCATGAGCGGCATCTCACAATTGTACTGGAGGTAACCACAGGCAATTGCTGAAAAGATAGAAACGAATTTTTTGAAGGCTCAGTGATCATCATGTTTAAAGGTCAAACATCAATCCCTTCCCTCCAAATAGCTGTTGAAGATATAACTTGAGAAAAAAACGAGTAAAAGGGTATGTCCAGATTGCCACGCACAAAAAATTACACAGATAAAATGGACTGATTTTAAATTGTATATTTCTTCAAGAAGGATATTAAAGTTTGCCTTTGGGGGAAAAATTAAATATTTAATGTTGCAACACCACAATAATAAATTTGCGATATATATTTGAGATGAATGGAATAGGAAACAATTTACATTCCAAAACAAATAACCAACTAACTTATTAGTAAGTTTCTTAAGGTTTCATTAAGGGATCTTTTCATTCCTCAAAAAAGAATCATCATAAAGTAAGGATAAACTGTATTTAAATGTTCAATTAAGCCTTGAAATTGTGCTAATTAGAATTTATCTTGCCAAAGGACATTTCTACATATAAATTCGCATGTGCCGTAAATATATATCCATGTATATACTGCAGAAAATAGGGGAGAAAGTTATAAAAACTTCTTGGCCAGGAACCTTGTGGGAATAAGTCGCTGAACTCGGGAGCTTAGAACCACAGTCTGGGCATGTCGCAGTTCACAGAGAGAACGTTCCTCTATGCTGTAGTAAACAGTGACGGTTCTTAAAAACTAGTGAGCAGTCATATTGGTCTCTTCCAGTTCAGTGGAGAGAAGAGCGAAGAGAATCAAGGACTCAAAGAAAGGATTAGTCAAAGGACTGAAGGACCATGTGAGCCACAGCCTCCACTTCTCTAAGCCAGAGGAAATGGATGGTGCCTGGCTACTACTACCCACTGCTCTGGTTGGGACCCAGAATGTCCTGAACAGAATGGGAGAAAAATGCAGAACAAGTGGATGGGACTGGAGGAAATCCTGAAACTGGGGGCCTTAAACACCCTTCAAGCCAAGGACTGAACTCTTCCTAAGGAGTCACTTTGCAGCCACATGGCAAAGTATTGGAAAGGGTGTAGCGAGAATGATGGCATTCATGAGGAATGTGCTCCTCAAAACAGTCAAACACCTGAGACCAGAGGGCAGCATTTGTCCAAAGGCAAAGCTCAAGAAGGGGGTGGGAATGTGGAGGGAAGGAGGAATGCAGTTGTACTTGAGAAATTTCAACTGTTTATGAAACAAAGCATGTGAAATGTATGTGAATCGTTGAATGGAAAACTAATTTCCTATGTAAACTTTCACCTAGAGCATAATCAATAAATAAAAATAAAAATGCATATTGCATACTACCACCAAAAATTAGCAAAGCAGATAATATCCTATTACCATAAATTTTATTTTTTGGAAAGTCACCCTATTTAGGCGCTGCTGCTCTCAAGAATATATAGGAGTCAATTTCCTAGAGCCTTAGCATAAGGGTGCATGGCCTCCTAAGCACCCCATTCTCTCCCAAGATGGCAGAACCGGGGACTGAGTAAAGTGTTTTAGTGGGTAAATAATTTGCTGACTTTTAAAATACACTATCAGTGTATTTCTTTTCTTTCAGTTACCTATACCTCTTGGATTTTTCAACAATAGTGCTTGTTCTACTTAATTTTGCACATTTGGTAATAAAATGTGGGATGAAACGCAAATAAGGAAATCAAGTTCCTAAAACTTGTTCTGTATCAGAGTCTCGCCTTGACAGTGAAAAATCCTCTTCAGTAAGGTCATTTTCCACCAGACAGTTACTTTTAGCAATGAAACATACCACCAGGTCTTTGAAAGGATGAAGCAGCAGCCCCAAGGGGAGTTTGGCTTTATTCAGTAAGGCCTGAGTTTGAGGAATGCCGGTCAGGGTGCAGCGAAACAACCTACATCGAAGTAAAAACATCCGTCAGTTGCTGCTATGGTTACTTTCGGACTGAAAAATAGTTTTAGGGTTGCACATGTTGACATTGGTCAAATAACAAATGGAAAAACTTCAATACACACTTTCGAAACTTATCCCATTAAAATATTTAAGTCTACATCCAATTCAGAAATACAGAGTAGAGTGTTATACTTCTGTATCACTTAACTAATTTTAGTCTCCTCATGGCTGATCTATAAAACAGCCTACATTACACTGAATTTAAAAGAGGAGGACTCAAGTTTGAAAACCTAAAGTTATGGTTATTATTGGAAAGTTCAGTTTTGCGGAAGGTCCTAAAAAAAGAAAATTTCAAAATAACAAAGTTCGATTTACAAAAAAAAAAAAAAATTTCATCAAATATACTTAATGTAAATTTTTAAGGATAAAAATGTTTTTTGAAGAGCAATTCAGCGTGAGATCAAATAAAGAATTATACAGAATCAAATCCCTGTACTTCTTTTGAAGAAAGGATGATAATGAATATCACAATCCCATCATAGCTGATACAAACAGCGATGGCAGCAATCAATTCACAGTTTAAGCCATTTTCCCGAATGAGATCAATTTAAAACTCAATTAAGTAAGCAAGTAAGACTTGTTTTCTAGAACTACTGTTTTTTTTCTCTTTCTTTTAATCATTTTATTAGGGGCTCATACAACTCTTATCACAATCCATACACACATTAATTGTGTAAAGCGCATTTGTACATTCATTGCCCTGATCATTCTCAAAACATTTCCTCTCCACTTAAACCCCCGGCATTAGGTCCTCATTTTTCCCCTCCCTCCGTCCCTGCTCCCTAGAACTACTGTTATAAATGATATATTTGTACAGTTTATCCATTGTACAGGAAGCTAAAATAAATCTGAAAATGTTTTTATGAGAAATGCTGTTCAAAGCCTTACTCTGGGCTACAGTTAAGTTTCTGGATATCTTCATGCAAATTTGGAACCGGAGGCTGCAAAGGTGTCGATGGAAGCATGTTTCTTTCTTGAAGAAGATTAATAACTCTTAGTCCTTCTGGGTGCAGACTTAATCCACTCATGCTTGCGGTTAGATGATTAGCACCTAAGGGAGTCTACAGATGAATAATTTCTAAGTAAATAACTCTGCAATGACTTTAGATGAAAACAAATATTTAGGGACTCAGTTACTTAATTTCTCTCTAACACAACTGTAATCTAGATTTCTTTGTCAATTTTTAAGTTCTGAAGAATGTAAAAAACAACAAAGACCTCATGAAATAGTCATTATTATTTTAATTAAACAAGGAGCCTTGGTAGCATAGTGGGTTATTCAATGGGCCCCTAACCATAAAATCAGCACTTCAAAACCACCAGCCGCTAAGTGGGAGAAAGACGCTAAGTGGGAGAAAGACGAGGCTTTCTACTCCAATAAAGAGTTACATCCTTGGAAATTCACAGGGCAATTCTACCCTGTCTTCTAGGGTCACGACTCAATGGCAGTGAGTTTTTTTGTATGATTAATTATAAAGAGATTCAACATATTCCTAAAGTTTTCTTCATGCACATAACAGTTGAGCCAAAAGGAGCAGAAAAGCAGGAGAGAGGGAGAGAAAAGCTATACCTGAGTAAAGGTCGGTGGCCCACTTGGGTAATTCAAGGAAGGCGGCGGCATTCCAGTTGTACTGGCTAGTGTTGTGTTCTGATAACCAGGTGGTAAGGAAGGATATGCATATCCAACACTTCGGCCCATTTTGGAATTCTTATTAGGAAACTGTGGTGTTGCTAGAAACAAGGTAACTTTTAAGTTCTATTTTGTACTCCACAATACTTTAAATCAACACATTCAAAACAATAGGAAATCAGAACTCTAAAATGCTTGGAATAATTCAATACTTTGACTTTTCAATTTTGTATAAGTTAAGGAAAAACTAGTAACAACTCTGTAATCTATATTAACCATGTTATACCAGTTAATATGGTATATAGCTAATAACTCTAAAGTCCTCTGAATAATTTAATACTTCGATATATCAATTTTATATAAGACAAACACTAGTAACAAGTATATAATCTAACTATAATCTATACTAACTATATTATTAATCTATACAAACTATGTTATATTATCCTAGTTAATGCACTGTATAACAATAAACCCACAAAATAAGTTTGGAATAATAAATTTTCTTTCATACTATCTACTAAATTTCCATTCAGGTTAAAATACTAATTCATCAAAATAATAATAATTTATAAATTATAAAGGGTACAAAAAAAATTATAACGGGTACATAAGGGAGGGGGGAGCAGGGAGGGAGAGGGTGATACCGAGGGCTCAGGTAGAAAGCAAATGTTTTGAGAAGGATGAGAGCAACAAATGTACAAATGTGCTTGACACAATGGATGGATGTACAACTTAAAAGAGTTGTACGAGCCCCCAATAAAATGATTTTTTTTTTAATGGTTTAGTATTAAGGTAAGGTTTAGGGTTCAGGTGGGTGTTTGACTTAGGGTTAAATTTAGGGTTAGCGTTAGCATAGGGTTACAGTTGATGCTAGGGTCAGTGTTAGACTTAGGGTTAGGGTTAGGGTTGGTGATAGGCTTAGAGTTTGTTTTAGGGTTAGAGTTAGGGTTAGTGTTAGACTTAAAGTTAGGTTTAGGATTAGATTTAGGGTTGGTGTGAGGTTTAGGCTTGGTGTTAGAGTTTGTTTTAGCTTAAGGTTAGGGTTAGGTTTGGATTAGGGTTAGGTTAATGTTAGGATTAGGATTAGTGTTAGGATTCAATAAAAATTATTTTTTTAAAAAATCTGATTCATATCACTTTAAATGAAAACCTAGATGTGTAACTTAGGAGACTAGTTAAATTTAAATAGATATAATTTATTTAAAATACTCTACAGTCATAAATGCTAATAATGAAGTCCACAATCCCAATTCTAGAGTCAAAAAACCAAAACTCTAAGACAGAAATCTAAATGCAAAAAAAAAACCAACAACCAAATGCAAGGCGATAAAAATATTAACAGTAGGTATAATCAGTACATGACACGATTAAGTTTTGTTCTCTGTTACTCATTTTCCAAATTTCCTAAAATGGAGACATATTATTTTATTAAAAAATAAAAGACAAAAACAAAACAAAACTTTCATAGCATCTCACCCAAGAAGCCACCTCCTTCAATTTCATCATAACTATTATGGACCATCATAGATCCATTATTGGTGTTTGATGTACCACCTAAAAGAGAAGTTTATTAACAATATTTAACTTAGAGCAATTATCATAACTTCTTTCACAATTTGAATTAATGCCTAAAATTTAAGACTATTTTCCAAACAATAAATAGTTGTTTGGAATAAATAATCATAGCCAAACAAAAATGTAAAGTACTGAAATGTGAACTTCAAACAATTGCATACTTTTTACCCTGAGAAAGCTTTTTAATATATAAGATATACAAAAGTGACATATAACTTAGGACCAGCACACATTGGGGAAATAAATCATAAAAAACACTACTACTTACAGGTAAAGAAAGTAGTTATATCAATAAAAGATCTTACTTCAAAATATCTAGCTAGCAAAATGGAGTGCAGAAATAATTTCAAGGTGAAATAAATACTTTTAGCACTTAGACACAAAGGAGCTACCTCTAACAGTCTATTGTAACACCAAAGATAAGACTTTAATAGTCTCAATAAAGTTGGTAAGCTTTTCCCAGTTCTCAAAGACCACCATGCTTTTGGCCATGAATTAATACAAAAAATACTAAACCTTTTCATGGGAACAAAAATATTGGGTATGTAATGAATTTTTTAGATGGTTAATAATGTCTTATTATATTTTGACTTTCAATGTTATAACAAGGCAACTGGTGAGACAGCTCAACATCAACACTAGCACCATTCTTTTCAAACTATTCACAGGTCACTTTTTTCTTATAATACTTAAAAAAAGAAAATATTAGAAGAAAATATAAAAATGATAATATTGAGTGTATCCTTACTTTACAAAGCATCTTATTTAACTTAATAAATTTGTTTCAAGGTAACATCTCAAGATAATGCTTTAAAACATTTGATTACTTATACAAATATTTATATACCATATATATTCGAGTATAAGCCGAACCAAATATCAACCAAAGCATCTAATCTTACCACAACTACATAAAAAATGTGCCAAAAAGTTCGGCTTATACACGAGTATATACGGTACTCAACTTTTCATTTAGGCTCATAAATATTTATACACATTATCTGTGATCAAAAGACCATTCTAACACCATATCCAAAAAGGCAAAAATTTCCTCACTCAAACTGCCCCTAAAAGGCATGATTTTTAAAAATCTGTACAGCAACAAAACAAAAGAAATAAATTAAGAGCAGAAGTTCCCAAATGCTAGTCGACAGCAAAGCAAAGGGCAGTAAAATTTCTGAAGAACTTTATAAAACTTTAAATTATTTTTCTTTTATTTTGCAAGCATACTTTTTATTTATTTACTTTTTTAATCATTTTATTAGGGGCTCATACAAATCTTATCCCAATCCATACATACATCAATTGTGTAAAGCACATTTGTACATTCGTTGCCCTCATCATTCTCAAAACATTTGCTCTCCACATAAGCCCCTGGCCTCAGCTCCTCATTTTACTCCCTCCCTCCTTCATCTCCCCTCCCTCACAGACCCTTGATAATTTATAAATTATTATTTTGTCACATCTTGCCCTGTCCGACGTCTCTATTCACCCACTTTTCTGATGTCCGTCCCCCTGGGAGGAGGTTATATGTACATCATTGTAATCAGTTCCCCAACTTTAAATTCTTTTATTTAATAATACAATAACAATTCTTTATTAATGTTATTTTTTGGACTAAACGTAAGAATTTTAAAAAAATAAATCATTTTATTGGGGGCTCTTACAGCTATCATAATCCATATATCCTATCCATTGTGTCAAGCACATTTGTACATATGTAACCATCATCATTTTCAAAGTATTTTCTTTCTACTTGAGCCCTTGATATCAGCTCATTTCCCCCCTCCCTCCCTCATGAACCCTTAATAATTTATATGTATATTTTCATATCTTACACCAACCACTGTCTTCCTTCACCCACCTTATGTTGTCCGTCCCCAGGGAGGAGGTTATATGTAAATCCTTGTGTTTGGTTTCCCCTTTCTACCCCATCTTCCCTCCACCCTCCTGGTATCTCTATTCTCATTATCGGTCCTGAGGGATTTATGTGTCCAAAACTTTAAATTCTTATGGTCTATCCCCAATCAATTAGAATTAAAAAAAATAAAACCAAAACTATATCTATACACAGCATGTATGTATATAAACATATATACATATAAATAAATATAATTCTGATGCAAAGACTTCACAATATATTTATCTTTCCAAACCAAGTTGGAGCTCTTAGATTTGTCTTTGCTTTTAACTTGCTTACCTTCTTGGTTGGCAGCTGAACTGAATGAGGGCTGGGGCATAGCATGATGTGATGATTTCTGGGGAGTCGGGGCCCTGGCTGGAGGTGGGCCTCCAGTTGGAGGGGGTCCAAGAGGAGCTCCTGGTTGAAAAGTAGGAGGCAGGGGCGGATTCACGAGAGAAGGTGCAGAACCTAAGGAAACATTGGTTTTCCATATGTCATATGATTGACTGTAAGGCAAAGGTCATCAACAGCTTTTCATCACATCTTTTAAGTTTGAAAATTATATTTTAATTATCATTATGAAATAAACAGAGATGTCCCAGGTTTCTGACTTTTTAATCTATATGTCTATTTTACAAATTCCCAAGCCTATCCCCTATAATATTTCTTCCCTGTCAATTACTAAAGCAATGTAAATTTAAAATATATACAAAGCAACGGCAGCAGCAGCAAGAAATCACTACTACACATAAGACTTGTTGGCAGCGAGTTGATTCTGACTCAGGAAGACCCTGTGGGACAGCACAGATCTGTCCCATAAGGGTTCTTCCCTAGGCTTTGTGGATGGAAACTGCTCTTTCTCCAGCACTCAGCTGGTTGGTTTGAACCACTGATCTTTTAGTTGCTAACGTGACTAACCACTGTGCCACCAGAGCTCCTAAAATCACCTATACAGTACGTAAAATTCTCCATCTATTGATTTTTCATTAATTGGTCATAGAAGTTCAACAGATCATGTGAAATATCCCTAGTAGAAACTAACATTAATAAGATTTTGCTAATGCTCATTAAATCGAGTCTACTCAATATCAACTAAGTCTAGAGCTAAGGACCTCTGGTGGTGTAGAGATTACTCATTGGGCTGCAAACCCCCAGGTCAGCAGTTTAAAACTACCAGCTGCTTCAAGGGAAAGATGGGGTTTTCTGCTCCCATAAAAAGTCAGAGTCTCGTGTAAGATATGACAAAATAATAATAATTTATAAATTATCAAGGGTTCATGAGGGAGAAAGAGCGGGCAGGGAGGGAAAAAAATGAGGAGCTGATACCAAGGGCTCAAGTAGAAAGCAAACGTTTTGAGAATGATGATGGCCACAAATGTACAAATGTGCTCGACACAATGGATGGATGTATGGATTGTGGTAAGAGTTGTATGAGCCCCCAATAAAATGGTTTTTAAAAAATTTACATACCATGTAAATTTTCCCATTATATCACTGTATGGCTTTTCTTAAATTCATTTTCAGATAATGATTTTTTTTTTTTTTGCCTATGTATGTATCTGGTGTATCTCTCCTTGGGTACCTATATCTAGTTATTTTTTATGTCTGAAATCCATGATAAAAATTTATATGTGTCCTTTATGTGTTGCAATACAGGAAAAAAAAAGTCAGAGTCTCAGAAATCCACAGGGGCAGTTTTACTATGTCCTACAAAGTCGCTATTAGAATCAACTCAGTGACAGCGAGTGAGGCCTAGAGTTTGCGTTCTAAAAATGGTACTACTCGTATTTTAAACTCCAAGGTTTTAGTTTTCTTGGCATACGGCCTGATAAAACTGAGATTATAAATTTGCATGCTGTTCAATGTTTACCTGAAAATAATTAAAGATCATTTACCTTCCACAGTCACTTGAGCATTGTATCACAAACATTCCTTAGGCTTAAAAATCAGGACAAAATCCAACCTTGATGTACTTACATAATAAATGACTGCAAGAGGTTTGAAAGTTAGCAGTTACACTAAACTCAAAATGACATTGCATCTATATATCTACCAGTGTCTCACTGCCCCAATTCCACCATTTTTCAACTAGGACATACATTCTGAGTAAGGGGAAAGCGTAATCGGTAACTCTCTGGCAAATTCTTCTATGTGGTATCAAAAGTTTCAAGACCTGCTACGATCTGCTCTTTCAAGTTAACCACATTGCTTCCATCTTCTCATTTGTGAAAGAGAAAACCTATAGAATAGTCAAAGCAAAACAGACAAGTGTATGATTTGACTTTTTAAAACCTCTCTATTGATAAGTAAAAGAGGTAATACATTTATTTGTAATATGTTATATAATTTGCTCTACAGTTAATAAAAATGAAAGAATAAAGATATCCAGATTTCAACTTTTTCAACATGTTTCTAAAATACTGTTAAATTCTCTAGTTGAAAAGTTACTACATTGCTGGCCCTTTACATTCCACTACCCTCCCAGCAAGACTTACAAATGCCCTGTTGGTAAAGTGAAGACAAAGATTACTTCCTTGTAACTTGTCTTATCTAAAAAGCCTAACTCCATGGCTTTACAGAGAAGTCAAAGGAACAAAGGAGCAAGGTACACTTCCAACTCAGCATGAAAATCACGTATGATACATCCAGTCACAAAACTGTAACAACCTAATTTTAATAGAATACAAGTGAATTTAGAGAGATTTTTCAGATTTAATAAGACTATTTCTGAATCAAGAATACTGTTGTATTTTATAAAAAAAACTTTTTTTCCCAAATTGGATAATCCTTACTTATAACACTAAAGTATCATAATCTGTCTTCCTTGATACCTAACGTCAATGTAAGGGTATCAAAAATTGGCCTAGTAGGAATAAACTTTAGGGAATTTAATATGAGGGGGATTCAAAGTTAATGGAAAAATAGAATATTCCCTTTTAGCCACGGGCAAGACACTCAAAAAGCTTTACTCTCAGAGATTATTGTAAACTTGATTATGGTGGATCGAACCATGGTATAATATACTTGATCAGTTTGACCTCCCTCTTGATCCAACCTGAATTTGCTCTAGGCTCAAATATTTCTCACTTGTTCCATGACAGAAATTTCTTCTCTGGCTTTAAAAATATTGATGGTGGTCTTTTCTTTCTTACTCTTTATTTTCAAATTATTATCATCATTATTTTCCTCTTGCTGTTTTGTTTTATTTTTGTTTTCTATTGTTTCTATTGGGTTTCTCAGTTTGGGAGGCACAGAAGGAGTGGATGCATGGAGATAATAGCTGAAATAATGATCTGAGACTTGGAGAGGGGGAGTGGGGGGAGAGGAGGTTTGGGGGAACAAACAACGAATGCAGGAGCGAGGAGGGAGCATTAGAACTGATTTTGATGATGTATATACAACTTTTAAAAAGCGATTTAAGAGAAGGTGCAGTGCGAGGGTCCCACGAGGATAAAAGATTTGCCACAGAGAAATATCATCCAGTCTAGGGAGCTAGAAATCTGTTACTTCTGTCTTGCACATTGAAGTATCACAAGGAAGGATTTCAATTTTTGACTGGTTTGTGAACCAAATCAATTCACCTGACTCCAAACAGGGTGAGAAACCCTGGGGTTCCTGAGGGCAACACCGGGCATAGGAGCTTGAGCGGAAGCAGGAGGGATCCCCGTCTCCTGGAGTCTGACTCCAGGAGAGCACCAGTGTACAAGGGCCCAGGATGTCCTGATGGTCAGCGTCTAAGGTCTTTGCTCATCTCCCTGAATCACAGAATACACTGGCCTGTAGACTGTGCATCATCAGCAGCATAGAGAAAGGAGGAAGAAGTGCCTGGTTTGGGTATTATTATTTCTGGGATGCCCCCATGAGAGACTGAAATTTGTGAACATCATTAGAACTGATCCAGATAAGACAAACAGCATCCCAATTGCCGGCAGTGTCCTAAGGACCAAAGAAAATGACCAAGGCTCAGAAATCACTGACATTCAACGATGTGGCTGTAAAGTTCACCCGGGAGGAATGGCAGCTCCTGAACCCTGCTCAGACGATCCTATATCAGGATGTGATGTTGGAGAACTATCGCATCCTGGTTTCCATTGAAATCCAGAAAGACGATGATCATTTGCTTGAGCATTTGGAATGTGAAAGATACATGGACAGAATGGAACAGTGCTATAAATTTAATACATTGGAAAGTATTGTTTCTCAGCACAAAAATAATTTTCCTCTCAAGGACAATTATGAGATGTTTGGCTTTCATGAAGAAACTGTAAAATCAGATTTAATCATTCTGTAAAATCAAATTTAATAATTCTGAAATTAAATCAGAACAGAAGCAACAAAGTAAAGAAGTCAGTTGTGCTCAATGGAGATGAGAAAACATTTCTCCATGTTGAACAAGAGCAATTTTGTACTGAAATGAAATTCACTGGGTGTGAACAATCTAGGCGCATGAAGTCAGAGTGGATTCAGCATCAGGAATCTGATGAAATTGAGAAACCACACACAGGTGATAAATGTGGGACAACCTTAATCGAGGAATCTTCTCTGTGAGCAACCAATCATTGATATACTAGATAAGACCTATGAATGCAGTCAGTGTGGGCAAAAATTCAATAAAGTGTTCAAACTCAACATTATCAAAACGCTCATAAAGGACAAAAACTATATAAATGTTTGAAATGTGGCAAAGCTTATCACAGTAAATCATACCTCAAGGAACATCAGAAAACTCATGTGGCACAGACGCCCTGTGTGTGCAGTGAATGTGGGAAAGGCTTCACCAGGAACAGTGTTCTCACTGCTCATCAGTGAATTCATAATGGGGAGAGAGCCCACGTATGTACTGAATGTGAAAGAGCCTTTACCAGGAAGCAGTACCTCACTGTTCATCAGAAAAGCCATACTGGGGAGAAACCCCATGCATGTGGTGAACGTGGCAAAGCTTTCATTTGGAAAGCACAGCTCAAAAGTCATCTACGAACTCATACAGGAGAAAGACCCTATGTACGTCATGAGGGTGGTAAAGCTTTCAGCCAGAAGCAATGCATTACAGCACATCAGGCATTTCACACAGGAGAGAAACCCCATGTATGTGGTGAATGTGGAAAAGCCTTTATTTGGAAGATTGCTCTCACTGTTCATCAGCGAACTCATACTGGAGAGAAACCTCATGTATGTGGTGAGTGTGGCAAAGCCTTTATCTGGAAGACTTCTCTTACTATTCACCAGCGAACTCATACTGGAGAGAAACCCATGTGTGTGGTGAATGTGGAAAAGGCTTTATTTGGAAGATTGCTCTCACTGTTCATCAGCGAACTCATACTGGAGAGAAACCCCATGTATGTGGTGAATGTGGCAAAGCCTTTACTCAGAAAGCACCTCTCAAAAGTGATCTACAAACTTATACAGGAGAAAAACCCTTTGTATGTCCTGAGTGTGGTAAAGCTTTCAGCCAGAAACAACACCTTATA